CAAATTTAAAATTGCTTAATATAAATCTGCATATGTTAAGGTTTATATTTTGTTTCTTAATACTGAATTTTAGAAGTCAACCATTCTAGCTTCTTAAAACCACCTTTTAAACACACATTTATGCACATATACAGACAAGCCTAAGATCATTCCTCACCTGTAAGACAAGCATCTATCAAGTTTTTAACACCAAGACAAACAGGAACTTTTTTGGTCTATCTTACCTGGCCAGGTTTTTTGTTTGTGGTTGTTGCAGTCTGTTCCACAGCTTTGGCTTTTTTCTTTTCTTTCTTCTTTTCTTTGTCAGCAAAAGTTCCACGCATTTTAGATATTATATCCGAATCTGTTTTTGCATACTGTATTCGCTGTTTTAATTATTTGAAAACAGGTTACTTCTCATGCTGAAGGATGTTTACCCTAGTCATTAATATTTCAAATTTCATTACGCAAATACATTACAAGCTAATTTTAAACACATCCTTAAGGAAATCTGCCAAAATATACTGAGTGCCAAATGGAAATAAACTGAATAAACTGTGGGATATAATTCATAATTTAGACAACGTTAGATTCAAGTGTGTTTATTAGATTAAAAAACCCATACATTTTCGTGTGAGAAACATAGGACTTTGAAATATCTGTGCCACGGCTTCTCTCCATTTAATCGAAGAACAGAGAAAAGTGCATTGAAGTATTAAAGGGACAAATGAGTGGGCTCCACCAGTGGGCTTTGGAATCCAGAACTGTTCAAATCTCCTCGGTGCCTGGGAATCCGGCTCAAGACCAGCTATTCTAATCCAGAGGTTTTCAACAAACAACATATAAAACAAACAAAAGCAAAACTGCTCAGCCTGATTAGAACTGTGGCTCCAGAGCCCAGTGGAGGCCAAATGCCCTTTTCCCTCCAAACCTACCCGCACCCCACAATCACAGAGGGAGCACCTGGGGATGCGATTTGAGGGAGCACCCGGGGATGCAATTTGAGGGAGCTTGGGAAAAAGAAAGAAAATCACTGTTCTAGACTAATGCTGTTTTACAGATAGAACAGGCCCACAGAACACTAGGACTAGTGTGGCAGAGCCCCCACAGAACAACTTTTCTGGCAGAAAATTAGATGGAAAATTTCTTTTAAACCATTTTTAATAAGTTTATTTGAATTTTTTTTTCATTTTTCAGAATTCTAAACATCATAAATTTGGGGCCTTAAATATAACTTTTTTGCATGGTAACTTTTTGGATGTACTGCTCTGAGTTGTAACACTTGTAGAGATTAATGTATCTACCACCACAAACAAGACACAGGGCAGTTCTATCACCTAAAAATCCCCTCATGCTTCCCCTTTGTTACCCCATCCCTCCTCTTCCAAACACTCATCTGTTCTCTGTCCCTGCTGCCCTTTCCAGAACGTCACACAGATAGGATCATACATCACGTAACCCAGAGGCTGCCTATGCCTAATGCCTTTGAGATTCATCTATGCCGTTGCATTTAACGGCAAGTAGTATTTCATCGTATTGATGTACCAATTTGTTTTACATAATCCAATGAAGGATATTTGGTTTCTAGTTTTTGGCGATTATGAATAAAGCTGCTATAAGCACGTATGTTTAAAAAAACAGATGCACAAAGGAAAAAAAACAACAACAACAACAAATGTATTGGAGAGTTGCCTTCCCGTTACCAGTGACTCTCAATAGAAGCAACGACGTGTCAATCAGCTGTGGGATGTGTCATATGGAATGTTACTTCCAATAGTTAAAGTACAGAAGACTGGGAATGACTTTCCTTTGAATCTATCACCTTTACGTGAAATGACTTTAACAGCGGAAACAACTTACCAAATTTTAAAATGTTTTAAAAGAAAACAAAAGAATGGAATCACAGATAGTGTGACTGGACCACTTGCATATTCCTTCCATGCTGGCACCAAGAGGCACCTGTTACAACAGGGAAAGGTTCAAAAACTTGTCCAGGATAGCATTTCATCAATTATAGTTTGCATTCCAAATGCCTGGAAAGCAGGTAAAAGCTCTGATGTAGTAGGTCTGGGTGAACCTGGGATTCTGCACTTTTAACAAGCACAAAGGTGGTAATGTTATTGGCTTGGGGACCACACTTTGTGAGTAGCCCTGGCCTAAAGCATTATCACATAACTACACTCAGCGCCAATGAACTGTCTGAATATCTCTGCCATGAGTTAAACTGTTACCTAGATATGACTATCTGTAATCTCCAACCTCCATTTCAAGCAAACTCTTCCTCCCCGGAGCTGAAAGAATTACTGCCTCTCTGATCAAAATGCAATAATCCTACAAATTACTGCTCTGTAGTAATCTGTACAAATTACTTTGTATAAAATAGGTATGCAAAATTTTATTGCCTTTTATTGTATAACAAGAATTTGATCTTGATCTGAAGAGAACAAGAAACAATTTAAAGTAGTGTGGATTAACAAAGCAGAGAATTTGTCAAAACCAAGACCAATTCTTCCTCTTCTTTTACTTCAGCTAGAGATGACTACACTGGGGAAACAAGAGGGGAAGGAGTAAGCCTAAACCCACACCTCAGAATCCCAGGTTCTTTCTGGCTGGTCTGGGCTGCTGTACCACAGTGGCTCTAAGTGTGCTTATCCCTGCATGCAACTCTGCTAGTCTTGCCATCATCATCTAACCAAAAGGAGACAGGTTGAAGGGTTAGACTAACTTCTGACTTCGTCGTAAGGGTTCCCTCACAACTCCCTTGGATCTGCAACCTTGTGACTGACCTGAATAGATCTTGGGTGACCTGATTTGTCTGTCCTTATGACCGAGTCACCTGTGAAAGTATTTGATCTCAACAATAGCTCTTAGCTGGTTCATTTAAACCAGTGGTTCTCAACCAGAGGTGATTTTGTCTGCCAGGGCACAACTGGCACTAGCTGGACACATTACTCGTTGTTATGCTACTGGCACCCTGTGGGTAGAGGCCAGGGATGCTGTTAAAACACCCTGTAATGAACAAGACAGCCCCTGCAACAAAGAATCATTCATTTCAAAACATCCAAAGTGACAGGGTTGAGAAACCCTAGTCTAGACTAAATACCTGTTAGAGATAAAAGTCTAACCACAACTTAGAGAAGGGCAAGATTTACTTATGCCAAAGTTTTCATGACGAAGCCCTTAGGAAGACGGTTCTACTTTACTAAGGTACTTTTGGCATTAACTAAATGCCCTTGAATCAGAGAGAGTAATTCTGTTCTGAGTTCCAAGTCATAGCAAATTTTGTTCATTTCTGATCTGGTATGTTGGAGTTAAAACAGAAGAGCAACTAAAACCACAATAAGACATAAACAAGACAGCCCAAAAAACTCTATTTCCCCTCTTCTAAGATGCTGGAGATCTGGCAGTATCTGTTACCTTTCCGTAGGAAAAGAATGGACCTCCCAAAACGCTTCAATACAATAATCAATGTAATACACTTTTCCCACTAATTTTAAAAAATAATTAGTTGGCAAGGTGAAGCTGGTGCCCAGCACAGCAAACTATTTCCTTTCCTGTATCTGAGTAACAGACACATGCAAACTTGTCATCTCCACTTAGCAAAATAGCTCTAAACCCTCTATGGGAAGAAACTGTACTTTCAAGTTAAGGTAATTTTAGATGTAAGCTAAAACTCAGACCCCGTGCCGCTGCCAACTGAGATCTCAATTATGGTGTTTCTTCATACTACCATGCGAGACCCACTGGTTTCAGGCAACACCAATTTACTAAAAATTAGATTACACAGATACTACCCCACAGTTTCCTGGGATAAGCCTTTCCACAAAAATGGTGTCTAGTCAGCTGGGAAGTGATGGGAAAAGAAGGGCTGGATAGAGGATGAGAAGAACTTGCTCTAGTAACAGAAAAAAAGGTGCTCAGTCCTGAATTAAACATCGTAGTATAAAACAGCAGTCCTCAATCCTGACTAACATGGTGAAACCCCATCTCTACTAAAAATACAAAAAATTAGCCAGGTATGGTGGCAGGCGTCTGTAGTCCCAGCTACTTGGAAGGCTGAGGTAGGAGACTGGCATGAACCCGAAAGGTGGAGCTTGCAGTGAGCTGAGATCACGCCACTGCACTCCAGCCTGGGCGGCAGAGCAAGACTCCGTCTCAAAAAAAAAATAATAATAATAAATAAACAAACAAACAAACAAACCAACCAAACAGGGGTCCTCAAACTACTGTCTGTAGCGAACACTGCCTGTTCTTATCTGTGACTGCTCTTCTTGCTATAAAAGCAGAGTTAAGTAGTAGTTGCAACACAGATTATCTGGCTTGCAAAGCGTAACATATTTACTATCTGGTCCTTTATGGAAAGTTTGCTGACCTGTAATACAGGAAAAAAAAAAATCACAATACTAGCTGTTAGATTAGTTGTCACCTCCTGATGCTGCCGCTGGTTATATTACTACAACCTAGATGAACAATTAAACTTTCTGTGCCTTGTTCTTCATCTGTAAAATGAAGGAATTAGATCAGTGGTCTGTACCACAGTCTGAGCCAAACCCTGCCCATGGCCTGCATGAACTTTTTTTGATAATGTTAAAGGGTTGTTAAAAAACATAAGCACATAAAAGAATAGGTAACAGAAACCATATATGGCCTACAAAGCCTAAAGTATTAGGTACTTCTTTACAGTTTTTGCTGATGCCTGCATTAGACCAAAGAACCAATTTGATTACACTTCAGAGGTGGTAAAACTGACTCATGCACAGAGCCAGTTAACAGTACAACCAGAATGAAGACCCAGCTCCTCTAAAACCTGGCCTTTGGTTTTTTTGTCCAACACTCCTTCACATCACATTCTAATCGCAGAAAAAAAGCAGTTTGGAATCCACACCCAAGGTACGGTATATTCCCTCAGACATAGAGAACCCCTTGCTTTACACTCTGTGGTCACCCTTATCTAATCCTCTGCATCTCTGATTTACATCAAGGGCCTCCTGAGTTTCCCACTTCCTTTCTGTCCCTCCCACAATGCGACCTTCATCCAGCAGCTAGATGTGAATCTCATTATGTCATTCCTGAGTTTAAAACTCTCCATGCATAACCATTTCATTTCCATTGTTATTCCTAAAACCTATGAGTTTAAACCTATCATTTTTCTTTAGATCACTGTTTCATCTAGACTGTGTAGCTTCTGACATATAGTATTTCACTATAGCATTTTCTAAAACTTCAGACTGAATTTCCCCTTTAGCTTCTGACTTTTGTAATGTTTTACAAGTTTACAAACAGGTTTCTTTTCAAGTCTTCCAGGTTATTATTAATTTCTAACTTTTTGAGATAAGACTATTGCCTAGACTGCCATTAGTTTTTTAAATATTCTACATCTCAATGTATTTTGTTTTCAGCCATCTTAACCGTCATAAATTAAACTCTACTGCTATTGTTTTTCTATAAAAACACATAAACCCAAACACACGTAATTAAAAGCAGAAAGCAACAGCCACAGTTTCAAGCATATTTACAAATCTACTGTACCATCAATATCATTAATTTCTTGATTAAAGTGAAATAATGGAATTGGCTTACCATTGGTTTACCATAAAATGGAAATCCTTGTAACTGTCTCAAAGCATTCGTGGATGAGCCCAGTTCCTTAAATATGACAAAGGCCTGCCCCCTCATCTTCATGGTCTTTAAAGCCACAATGTCCACCACATGACCGAATTGAGAAAACAGGGCATACAGGGATCTCTTCAATTCTGTCCAAATTAGAAAAGAAACAAGTCATTGGTAATAAAATAATGACAAAAGTCTTCATAAAATGATACTGCATTGAGTTGCCTCCCCACCATTCACTTATTTATAGTTATATATATTTAATGTTTATAAAAACATACACTATTCCCATTGGCTATATGTAATTTTAAAAGTCAAATGAAACCATTATATCTATGAGTAGAAACAGACTGTACACACTGTCAATTCCTACCTATTTTTGTTTTTTAAAAGTCTTCAAATCCTTATAGGAAATGGGATAAACCATTATTTCAGGCACTAAGACGACAAGGTGAGAGGTTTTGAGGCAATACAATTTTTAAGACAGTAGTAAATAAACACATTTTAGTAGTGAACAAGTATTTTAAAAAGCACTTACCTTCCTTTTTAATTTTGTCATTCATATTGTTGATATAAATTGTATGGTTTGGTCTGATATCCATGTTTGTGTTAAATTCTTCAGAAGGAGACAGTAAAAAATCTGTTATAAAAAGGAAGGAGTAAATTATACTGGACTGTGGCATAAGGACACAACACAAGAATCATTAACCTTTCACTTCTCTTTCAATCCCAATTGTCAGAAAATGTCAGTTTGGCTGAAGCCTTTAGTGTATCTCCAGCACCTACTAGCCCTCCTTTCCATACAAAAGGAGAAAAGTTTCTCATGCTCAAAAGTTGGAGCACCAATACCTCGCCAGATTTTAGTAACACCATTTAATTCAACACATTTATTTTCACACTTACTTTTCACTTATGACAAGTGATATTTTCTTTCCACCTCCTCCATAATTTTAAAATGCAGATTTGAAGAAAAATGACCAAGTAGCAAATGTACATCCAGTGAAAATCATAAGGTTAGACATCAATGGAGTTTGCCAACTACTTCTTGGGTGCACTTACAAAGTCCTTCCATACCTATTACTTAATTTGTATACAGTATCACCAAGCTGTCTGGACTCCAAGGTTACCTTTAACCGACTTGAAAGAAGGGAGCTCAATGACAGCAGTGTGGCATGACCGTTAAACTCAGATTCTAGTACCAGTCAGATGTGAACTCAAATCCTATTTATGCTTCTTATTAGCTGTTTGCCTGAGGGAAGTTCCTTATCTGTCAGGTCCTCATCAGTAAAATGAGAATGGTAACAGAACCTACCCAACCGAACTCAGAAGACTAAATGAGTTCTAGCACAGTTTTGCATCAGCGGTTAGCACTTAGAGTAGCTATTATTAACAGCTATTACCAGTTAAGGAACGTGCCTAAGGTCACACAGCTAATAAGCAACAGGCCTGGAAATTCAGCCCTTGCTTTCTCCTCTACACTTCTCTTCCTCGTCTACCACACTATTGCATTTTTTTTACGTGGTTTTTACTTGCAAATTGTGAAGTTGCTTGATTTCCTTGTGTCCCACATATTCCTTTATCTCACAAATATTTACAGAGCATCCACTGTACGTGAACAGCATTGGATGATTGACAAGGGAAGAGCCTACAAGCAGGGGCTGCACTTGTGCAGGTAACAGGTAAAACGTAACGCTTATCCAAGCCTTGGGACCCCCTAAATCAAAATCTGGAGAAGCGGCAAGGGTCACAAAGGAGACGACGAAAGGGAAGTGACTGAGGCAGAGATCAAACTGAAGGTAGGAGGACAAAGGGGAGGCTCTTGCGGGGTTTCATGCGAGGTTTGATCTTGGGCTGGATTGTTACAGGGGCACCCTGAATTACCCGCCACCACCAAAAAGGAACCGCTGGAAGACACCTGAAAGCGCAGTGAACTGTCAATGCCTCGCACGAGCAGACACACATTATCCTTTACTTCCTAAGCGCAAGCCTCCCGCCTCTCCAGACACAAGCACCTTCGCCCGAGGCCCCCTAACGAAGTCCAAGGGAGCTGCCACGCGATGCCCGGCCCCAGAGTCAGTCTCCCATCTCTTCCTCGCCGCCGGCCTACCCGGGTACTCCGAGCTCCAAACCGGGGCCAAACGCGTCCCCACCCCAGCTTCGCGCTTCGTCCGCTCCCAGCTGCAACAGGGGAGAAAAGGGCCGAGGAGCCAGGAAAACCGAAACAGCGAGGTAAAAGGTGCACGAACCCACCTGAGGCCTACGCCGTCTCCCGTAAGAACCAAAAGCAGGAAACGGAGCCAGGCACCGGAAGTAACGTTGCCACGCTCCTCAATCGAGCGCCCACAAGTCTACAAGCCGAGCGCAGAGCAGATCGATGCTTCCGGGTCTCTGGCGGCCTGGGCTGGTAATCTCTTTGCGCGTGCGTATGCCCTGCGGGCTGGAGAAGAGTCCGGAAATGGAAATGGGGAAAGGGACGGGGTTTGTGGGGACCATGCTGCGAGGGAACAGGGAAGAAGAGTGAATCATTTCCCTTACCACGACCTTGCGAAGCTTTACCCCGCGCAAGAGTGCCTTCCACCTTTACAAATCCTATGTAATTTTACAGGCTGCGCCCCTCATGCTACGGGGCAGTTAGTCCTGGTTTCGCCCTTCTTTGGGCTCCGGCTGCCCCGGTTTAAAATCACCTTTAGGATAGCCGGTTCCTCCGGCCTCCAAGTCTCCTCTGATTCCTGGGGCTCTGCAGGAACTGTCCTCCAACACTCTGCTGATGAACTTGAATCTCAGAGGCTACCCAGTTTGAGGGCCCAGGGCAGACAGAAATGGTGTCTGCCCAATTCTCATCTCTCACCAGATAAGGCAACCATGCTGAGTAGAACCCAGTCATCTGTAAGATCATCTGCCTCAACTCACTCGAAAAAATAATTCCCTACCACCCTTCCCACTCTTTTCTTCCCACAAAAAGTCTAGATTTTTCTAGGGTAATCTAACGAGTTAGTATTTATGCCAAGCTGAATGGGAATTCCCAAAAAAATTCCCATGCTTTCATTCATTCATCCATTCATCAGAAGTCTGTAAAGCATTACCTGGAATATGAAATAGTTGTTAAGAGTCAGGTGGAACCTAATCTTGTACCCTCTGCTTAACTAATCTCTCTGATCTTCACTTTTTTCGTCTGTAAAATAGGGATCCTAATAGTATCTCCTTCTAGTTGTTGTAGGCATTAAATGAGCTAAAATAAATGTAAAGTGGTTGGCACATTATCAGACACAAAATAAATGCTCAAAAATGTTGTTTCTGAATTCTGGCTATAACCTGGTTATATTGGTGAGGCTCAAAAATGTTATTTCTGAGTTCTGGCTATAACTTGGTTATATTGGTGAGGCAGGTAGCTGTCAAATAAGTTAGTTTTATCAGCTGGGAATTTTTATTTTTTAAAAAACACCTAAAGTTGCAACAACTTGAAAATAATATAAGCTTCTTAAGGGTGGGGATTTTGTCTGCTCTGTTCACTCAAGTACCCTTAGTAATGAGAATAGTGACTGATAATTAATATATATTGGATAAATTAATGAATGACATGGAAAACTAGGCAACAGTAAACAAATATGCTTTGAACATGCAGATGAGTGTAGAAAATGTTAAGGGATCACAGAAAAACATCCTTTTATTATATAGATCTAATACTACAAGAAATGGCTGAGTGTAGTAGCTCACACCTGTAATCCCAGCATTTGCGGAGGCTGAGATAGGAGGACTGGTTGAGGCCAGGAGTTTGAAATCATCCTGGGCAACATAGTGAGATCTCATCTCTGAAATAAATAAATAAATAAATAAGAAGAAATAAATGAGAAATTCCTATCTCAGTCAAAGAATTATAAGTATATCTTTAACAAATTAAAAGAGAATATAAACTTAATATAAACAATTTCTAAATAACAAAGGACAAGCTGTTCTGCGTATTAGTATGAGCATCTCAACAGTTAGTTCTATTTGTTGATAATGAGGACGGCTAAACTACTGAGAATAAACTATACTCTTTATTATATAAGGGGATCTAGCCAAGAGTTGATAACTGTTAAAAGAGAATAAGATGTGATTATGCAAAGACACTCCAACCTAGAAGAAAATACCACAGGAAACACAGAGGCCTGAAGACAGACTGCATATCATGTTCTATTAACAGTTAAATTACAGCTATTGTACATTACACTGTGAGAAGCAAATCATCCATTGCCAACTCAGCTGCAATGGTCTGCATGCACTTTTCCAGGTTCTTCTGAAAAGAGCCAGTGCACTGTCCTTGGGCAGTCACTCTGTGCATTCCAGTAACCCGTTAATGATTCTCAGTGGTTTCCTGAATGATCTGAGAAGCCAGAAATTGAAAACGGTGCAGGAAGGGAATGATAGGGATCGAGTAGCTTTTCTGGTTTTGTGAGAAACCTTGCATAGCCTGGTTATATAACTATATTAAGAATATTATAGCAGCTAAACTATGGTCACATGTACTGTAAAACATCATCACTTTATAACCAGATCCACTTCTTGAGGGTCAGATCAGGAATCAGATGTCCAAAACTCACATTTTTAAAAACTAGAAGGGCAAATGAGTTTTGTTAGTTCTGCTCAGTCTGTTCTTTCATATTTGGGTTAGGCATCGTGATTTACTTTCCTGTGAAACAGGTTTTTTTTAATCGAGAGAAACAAGAAGGCAGCGCCATAACCACCCTATCCAAGTGTCATGTATCTGCAGATGATAAAACTCGCTTATTTTCGGAGTAGCAGAAAAATTACTACAAACAGTAGGGAATAAAACTGTGCCAAGATGTCTAAACTGTGAGGATGATAACTGAGGTGTCTCTTAGTGACTCCGAATACACATATATTTTCTACCTTATCTGCACCTGTTTTATGTTTCTCATTAAATGTTTTTTGGTACCTGCTGCAGTAGTTTTGAGGAGCCATGTATAAAGGAAAATGCATCATAAAACTGGTGGATAAACTTTGTCTTATTTATGTTAGATAGAGCCACAAAATGTATGGCAATTCGTCTGTATCTTCTCTCTCTCCCCAGATGGTGATTACATTAAGAAATTTATCTAGAGTGAAATTATTTTCACAACAAGCATTAAACAAATCTAGGCGCTATTGTTGAGCATCAAATCAGGTTTATGTTTTCCTGGGAGGTTGGGACAATATTGGCTGAAACTTCCTAAAAAGCACCACTCTCCCTCCCCCAGTTCAGGGAGGAAATAATTTTGTGCAATTAATTTTCTTTCATTTTACTTCTTACTATTTCATTCTTTGTGGATACAGTCTTGTTTTTAGGAATGAAGAAAACCCGAATATGACTATTGCCCCTGACGTGTACCACTGTATTAATGTTAAGAATAGTGTGTCTTTCACATGCACCAAAATACCCTCTCCCCAGAATGGGTGATATCTAAGATAGGTTATGAGAATGTGCACATTCCATAAAGTTTGGAAATGGTAGTTTTTCTTTGAGGACCTGATCATTAATCCAAAGAAGTATGGGGAAAACCTGAACTTTTTTAGTGAACTTTTTGTGAGACGTGTAGGTTGTGCTCAGTATTGTATCACCTGCCCTCCCCTAAAGCCAGCTAAAGTAGCATCATACAACTGCCGTTCTCTTTGAGACTAGAAAATTAAGATTTCAGTCCCATGAGATGCCCCCATGAAACAAAATATTATGTACATACAACTTTTAAATATAGTGGGTTTTGCTTCTCCTATAATTAATCACTGTAAATTTTTTTGAGTCTTAAGCCTTAAGACAGTTTGGAAATACAAATTTTTAAAAGAACAGCTTTAAAAAAAAAAAAAAAAAGACTTCCAGGCCCTGACTGTAATTTCAAAAGTGATATATCATTGATTTCATGGGCATTCCCCAGATATCTTAACCCAGTGCTGAGAAGCTGCATTTGTAGCAAACTTCCAGATGCTGCTGATGCTGCTGGTCCCATACCACATTTTGGGTAGCAAGAACCTAAACATTTCTTTTTTAAGAATGATTGGGGCCAGGCGTGGTGGCTCAGTGTGTAATCTCAGCACTTTGAGAGGCTGAGGCAGGTGGATCATGAGATCAGGAGTTCGAGACCAGCCTGGCCAACATGGTAAAGCCGTGTCTCTACTATAAATACAAAAATTAGCTGGGCGTCGGTGTAATCCCAGCTAGTCTAGAGCCTGAGGCAGGAGAATCACTTGAACCCAGGAGGCGGAGGTTGCAGTGAGCCAAAATCACACCACTGCACTCCAGCCTGGGCAACAGAGCTAGACTCTATCTCGAAAAAATAAAGGAAAAAAAAAAAAATGAATGGTTGGTAGGTCAGGCGTGGTGACTCATGCCTGTGGTCCTAGAGCTTTGGGAGGCTGAGGTGGGTGGATCACTTGAGATCAGGAGCTTGAGACCAGCCTGGCCAACATGGTGAAACCCCGTCTCTACTAAAAAAAAAAAAAAAAAAAAAAAAAAAAAAAAAAAAAGCCGGGTACAGTAGTGCATGCCTGTAGTTCCAGCTACTTGGGAAGCTGAGGTGGGAGAATTGCTTGAACCCAGGAGACGGAGGTTGCAGTGAGCCAGGATTACACCACTGCACTCCAGCCTGGGTGACATACCAAGACTCCATCTCAAAAAAAAAAAAAAAAGAAAAAGAATGGTTCTAGTATCAAACTGTAGTTATCTTTGGAGCCACAGAGATTCTATCAGATACAGAATCCTATCTTCTTATCCAAACACAAATCAACTATTTCTTTCAATGGAGCTCGTATTTATTTGAAACTTTATTTTAACTGCCTTCTACTGGGCATTTGGAAATAAACCTGAAATGAGAGAAAGAAAGTCTGGAATATGTATTCTTTTTAACAGATGATTGCTTGTTTGGGGAGCCCTGGGTCACTTTCTAATTTGTGGTAGTCATTTCAGCTGTTCACAAATATTGTGATTCTTGTTCCTTCCAGGCTCATGGAGGGCTTGAACTACTCTACATCCTTTGAAAATGGGCATGGCCATGTCACTGCTTTGGCTAATGAATTGTGAGAGCATAAGACATGCATCACTTCCAGGTAGGAACATCACAGGCCAGTGCACAATTTGCCAGGTGCCTTTTTCCTGTCCTTGTGATCTTGGAAACATATCCCAAGATGGAACCTCTGTCAAGTGTAGGCCTTAATGATTAAAGGACACCCTCCTCCTGCCCAACACACACACACACACAAACACACACAAGTTCAAATTGGTCATGTAATATAAGCAAGAAATAATTAACTGATATTTAGGGGATATTTGTTAATGCAGC